GGTTGAAATGTTAACATTCCGAAACACAAGTCTTTAATACTTGAAATACGTTTTTACAAAATCTTTGAATCTCTGAAGTCTCTAGGTCTAGAGCTGTTCAAAAATCGAAAAATATGATATCGAACAAATATGATAAACTTGTACTGCGTATGGTATACACGAGTATGCACACAAAATACTTTTACATACTTTACATATATACTTTATGGGGTCTGCGATGATTCCTTCTGGCTGTTACATACTTTTTCACCAAAACATTATACCCTGATTTCCCATTTTCAATGGGTTCAGGGTTTAAAATCATAAATCGATGGTACTTCAGGGTATCTCCTAGTGGATACCCGCTTGATTTATTTTAGCTTGATTTTGCAGAAGTTTTAAATATATAAAAAGTGATGACGTCTTAGCAGATGGGCTTTCCTTTAAACAGTTTAAAATTCAACCAGGCTTAAAATACCGTCACACTCTTGAAGTGTTCCTAACATATCAGGGGACATAATGGGTACTCGCCGCAACCGCTCGGCTTGTTGGTTATTGGTTTTGTCTTACATGCGGTGGGTGTGTACGAATTTAAATGTTGAACGTGTATCTCATTTTTAATGCAAAAAATATATTATTTTTGCTGAGTTCGTTTTGACTTTGGCCAGAGGCTGTCAAAGCAGGGAATTGAAACAGGCGCGCGAATTAGGTCAGGCGTATGGCAAATGTTCGACTGGGATTTTCAAGACCGCAGCTTGAACTTGGTCAACAAGCTCTAAAGTCAATAAAGCAAGCGACACATAAGATTTAATATTATTAAGATTTTGTAAAGAAATTTTACTGCTTTAGTCATTGGTCTATGCAGAATTGTGTATTTCACAATTTGTGCTACTGAATCCTAACTTTTACCCGAACCCCACTTCCAGCCTTCTTAAAAAGAGTTTCAAAATAGCAACAGTTGCAACATTAATGTATCTGGTGGATAATGTATCTATATATACAAAATTGCTTAGAGTGCAAGTGCGGCTGAATATGTATCGTTTCATTTTGCGAATTTGTTGCTGACTTGGCCAATTCGCAGTCCACCAGCATCACTTTTCCAGTGAAACGCAGTCAGCAGATAGAGCTTTACATACCGATAATTAATATGTATATAGTCGATATTTTTGTGCGAGAGTGATAAACGAATAATTAATAAATACAATATCATTATTAATTTTATAATATTGAATTACTCACATAAAATTAGAAAAGTTTAGTAATCTTAACTTATATATGTTATTTTTATATATGCTGATTTTTTTTTTCAGGTATTCAATTCAAAAATGCGATATAATTGTCCACCCTTCCGATTTTCGCAAACGCTTTATTCAACTTACCAAACAGATACACTGTTGCCTTCTTGTAAGCCACATTAAGCATTTATTAAAATATATACTGTTGTACTACAGAGAATAAAAATAAAATATCGGCTGTGGCAACAACAACTTCAGCTGCATTTGCAAGCTACCTATTTAGTGTGTTTAAAATGTTTTTCATTAGTTGGTTACCGTATCTCGAAAAGTGTCGTCAACGTAACGTTAATATACTCGGTTATTATCACCATTTCGGCACTTATCTAAGAGGGAGAGAGAGTGAAGTGCACTGTTATTATACGTGTTATGGGCAGTTTTGAAAGTAATTTGTATCTTTCCGACAAGCCTGGCGAACAGCAAAATCTATTGTTCTCGACCCAAATCGACAGAAAATAGTCATAATCTAGCCATACTTAGAGTAAAGATACTTAGCGCTTTGATTTCACTAGCTTGATAAGCTAATAAGATTCTCGCTCTTTTTAGATTGAAGGCATAGATAAATAGTTAATTAGACTTCTTGCTTTGTAAGAAAAATGTTTGTGAGAATTGTTTTATAATTTTTCAGTCTCAGTTGTGTTGCTGTCGCCAGAGGCCCTCTAATAGTTAAGTAGAGTTTTGTTTTTATTGTCGTTCCAGCTATTGAAAGTTGCCAATAATAAAATGTTGTTTATTTATTTGGGTTTAATAGCAGAATTAGCCTTAGTCTTAACAAATGCACTGGAAATATTCTGCCCCACGGATATTAAAACATGAAAGGCTGACCATTGTAGCTGATTAGTGCGGTGCCTCACATAATTCTTTGATGTCGTTTGCCGCTCTTTGCCGACTGGCTATGCTGCTAATTAGCTGAAGAAAAGCAATTGCTAGGCATTTAGTAGAAACTATTCGCATGAATTTTGCTAGTCAGACACCAGGCAGACTACTGTTATTTTGTATACCCTGAACCCATTGAAAATGGGAAATCAGGGTATAATGGTTTTGTGAAAAAGTATGTAACGGGCAGAAGGAATCATCGCAGACCCCATAAAGAATATATATTCTTGATCAGCACGGCGAGCTGAGTCGATATAGCCCTGTCCGTCTGTCCGTCCGTCCGTATGAGTGCATCGATCTCAGAAGTCATAAGAGCTAGAGAGCTGAAATTTGGTGTACCATACGCAGTACAAGTTTATCATATTTTTTCGATAGCTCGTCCGATACATTTTTTATCGAGAATAATTGAAAAATTAATTTATTTTTTCAGCCTAATTTGATCACTTTTAGACCTAGGGACTTCACTTTACTGTGTGTATACAGTTGATCGATACGAAGATCTTGTAATTTACAGATTTTGGATACCACGCCCCCTTCGCCCTCAATTTGTAAAAACGCATTTCAAGTACTAGAGACTTGTGCTTTGGAATGTACACACATTTTAACCATATGATCACGCTCTGAGTTTCTCTCTCAGTTTCATTAAGATTGTATGTCTACAAAAGAAATTATTCAACAAATAAATTCTCATAATATTGGCCACACTGCAGCGCAGTCGCTGCTAACTGCGCAGTCAGCAGAGCGCATGATTATAGGTGCGTGTGTGCATAAAATAAGTGCAGAATGAGTAAAATATCAGCTTAGAGGGTTCAGGGTATCTCCTAGTCGAACAGTCTCGACTAGAGCCTTTTTACTTGTTATAATTTGTCTTTTTTTTTTTTTTTAATTTTTTATCTGTTTGCTCAGCTAGAGAACATCTTGATGAAATTTTTAGCTAATTGGCGGCATGCTTGTAAGTATCCAGTATATAGTTTCCAGTCGTCAGTCCTGGATCGAGGTTGTTTCTGTTTCTTATATGTCTTATATCTTCGAAACAGATATTAGCTCCAACTTGACAGTTTAATCTTAGCACCTTTGGCGTTAGCGCTGATCTACAACTTGGTTATTTTATTTGTATCTAACCAACATTTTATGCACTTGTTAAATGATTACGAGTAATACTAGTGGATTAACCCCATCCACCAGCCAATATTACTTTTTATATTTTAGTGCCACATGTTTTTTGGAAAGTTGCCGCGTGTCTTATATAAAATACTGTTAAATGTAAATTATTGCAATTTGCTGAGCTGTTCAGTTGATTGACTAGTTGGTTGGTAATTTAATTTTAAGTAATTGTAGTATCTATAATTTAGTAGCTATCTCTTGTTGCTCTGGCAGCTCGACAACTCTGACCGCTTAATTATTATCATTTGAAAGTTGAGTATTAATTGTTGTTGTTTGGCTATCGCAATATATACAGCTGTGTTTTAAAGGCAAATTTGCATTTTCCAGCACACTCAAGTTCGCTTATTTATGCTCATGAGCTGCCCATGTTGATTAGCATCCTCGCAGGCCTCCATTGCAATGCATTGCTTTCTTTTCACTCGTATACCTTGGAATGTCCTGTGCTTTTCTCTTTGGAATGTTGAGGCCGCGTTGGCATGCGGATAACATTGAACATAGCTATTCACTGAATGGAAGATTAAAACAAATAATAGAGGTTTGTTATGCAAACATGACAACCTTAATAGGTAAATAGAAGTCATAGCTGAGAATATCACCTAATCGATTTCGATTTTTATTTGTATTTGCATTCTTTGCATAGCTTTTTCTTTGTATATTATTCAGATTGCTCTTCAGAATTATCCAAATATAATATAAAACAAGTAAGAAGGCTCTAGTCGAGACTGCTCGACTAGGAGATACCCTGAACCCTCCAAGCTGATATTCTAATCATTCTGCACTTTTTCTATGCTCCCATACATACATATGCATACAGATGCACGTATAACAACGCGCTCTGCTAACGGCGCAGTAAGCAGCGACTGCGCTTGGGCTGCGCTGCAATGTGGGCAACATTAAACGAATTTATTTGTTGAATAATTTAATTTTTAGACGTACAATCTTAATAAAACTTGCAGAACATAATCATCAAATGTATGTTCAGTCCAAAGCACAAGTCTCTAGTACTTGAAATGCGTTTTTTACAAATTGAGTGCGAAGGGGGCGTGGTATACAAAATCAGTTAATTACAAAATGTTTGTACACAGTAAATCTGAAGTCTTCAGGTCTAATAGTATTCCAATGAGGCTGAAAAAACAAAATGAATTTTTCGATTATTCTCGATAAAAAAGGTATCGGATGATTTATCGAAAAATAAGACAAACTTGTACTGCGTATGGTATATGGAATATATGTATATGTGTATATATTGAATATACTTTATTGGGAAAGCTACTCTTTCTGTCGCAAAATCAGTATACTCTGAACTCAATTATAAAAATTGTAGGCCATCAAAAAATATGGGACAGATCTTTATAAGATTGGCTCACATGCCAGTGTCGGGGCCAGCTGGGCAGCTTGGTCGATGCACCAGGCAGTCCAGCAGCTAGACAATTGCACAATTAGATAAACTATCTCTAATGAATGTTAAGTGAACTTCGTAAACAACTTTTTGATGCATTGTTCGAGTTACCTCTTGCTCTTCTTCTTGTATTCTACATATTTTTGCGCATCCTTGGCGGATGCAGCTTGCAGAGTGGACTCACGTATCACCAGGTGCCCATATGGCAACTATTATTCGATTTAATCCCGACTTTAATTTAAAAATAATATGCGATTCAATTGAAATTTTCTATCTTTGTTTTATTGCAGATCGTAAAAATTGACACACTTGGAATACAAGAAGCTCATCTTTATGGACCTGCTTGTTGCATGGATGGTAGTGGCATCGATTTAGAGAACTGACTTTTGATTTATTCATATCGACTTAAATGATCACGATGGCTAGGATTAATTGAAATTGAAGATGATATTGTTAAAATTGTTGACCGATTGACCAACATACACGAATTATAACAAGCTGCCATGTGAGAAAGGTGGCATTCATATTAATTAGGCATCGCCCCCAGTTAATAACTTATTTAAATAATAAACATATCCATCGAGCGACTAAGACTGTGAAGCAAGCGAGAGAGATTGAGGCGCAAAGGAACAAAGCGGAGAGTAACATAAACATCACCATGGAGTCTGAGTCCACGGAACAGAATGTTGTGCTACGCGGCAACGAAGATTTGATGTCAACATCAAATACGTCAACAAATGACGGTACCTGCAACCCGAATGGATGTACCAAAAAAACGGTTAGTATCGAAGGGCAGAGCCCGAACATTGCATAATAAAACGTACTTGCATTATATCGTTAATATAACAAGGTACATTCAACTAAGCTGGTTACTGCGAAAAGCAATTTCTGCAATGGATTATAATATTGATAAATCCTCAATAGTAATTTCTTCAAAATGTCGATAATAATATTTAATGTCGATGCTAATACTTATTTCCAAGAAATTGTAAGGAACGCAATCGCGAACAATAAGGGCTAGCAATTATTCAAATTTACTTGAAGAGGGTAGAATTTTTGAAGGTTTAAATACAATAGTGCTTTCTTATCAACGACTAATCAACTTATTTGAGTTATTTAGTGACAATAAAACCAATAGTCGGGATATACAATAGAGGACGAGATTATAAACATACTTCCAATGATGGACATTGGGCTGTAAGATATTCACGTATCTTTGATGTATCAAAATGCAATTGCCTATTTCCACAATACAATATGGCTTCCCAATATTATTAAGCCACCTGCATTGGAGTGATGATTTAAAGAATTCCTCCTTTCCTATATTTTGGAAATAACGGTTGTTATTAATGGTCATATCCCACCCCAAACCGTTCAATTCTGTTCAAGTTCACGGAACTGTGGTAATAGATTCTGAAATAATTGTAGGTGGGCAAGATACTAGTTTGAGAACAAACAAAAAAAAAAAAAAAAAAAAAAAACAATAAATTATTAAAAGGGTTTGATTAAAATCACACATAATGGTATCACGACAACTATCCCAAATAACTAGAGAACAAAAGACATGCAATTTTAAACTCTGATCTTTGACATTTGCATTTGACTCGAAAGCAGTTGAACTAATTTAGCAGCATAATTGAAGTAATTTATACAGCACTTGTTGCTTTGTTATAATTACAATTGTGACATTTATTACAATTATTATAATTAATTTTAGTGCATAACATCGCCCGATCCCACAGCGTATGTGACAAAGGCGCGTGTAACGCGTCCCACGCCACCGCCACCATCCAAGAATCCAATGCAATTTGTCCAGATCAAACCATGCAATTTATATCAGACGGCGCAGGAGCAGTTAAAAAAGGCCGAGGAAGTTAAAAAGCTGAAGGAGGTGAAGAAAGAGGAGCCCGAGGAATGGCAGAACGTAAGTACTATTGGCTGTAAGATCAAAATTTATTTATTTAATTTGTGCAGTCAAAGACAAGGTAAACAGTAATTCAAAACAAGTAAGAAAGCTGTAGTCGAGACTGCTCGACTACTAAATCCCCTGAGCAAGAGCTATTTCAATCATTTTTCGCGTCTTTCTGCTTACACAAGACACACGCACACACACACACACAAACACACCCACACGCACACACACAAACACAAACACACCCACACACACACACACACACACCCACACCCACACTCACACACACACCCACACGCACACACACAAGCACCCACGCCTAAACACGCATGGGCAGCAGTTTGCGCTTACTATGAGAACTTAATTGGTTTTTTGTGGACATACAATCTTCACGAAACTTATATGAGTATACATTTAAAATTTGGAGACTATCTTTAAAGATGTAGGAGATAATTTATAACTGATTTTCGATAAGGTTTTTTATCGATAAAAAAAACCAGGATGAGTTATCGATTTTTGGTGACAAACTCGATATCCGCGCTGTATATACGGACATTTTAAAAAAAGTCTCTAGCACTTATATCTTCTGAAATCGACGCGTTCAAACATACGGACAGACAGACGGACAAGGCTAAATCAAATCAGCTCGTCGCCCGTCGTTTGAAATAGATGTATCACATTTTAAATTGAATATTGCGATCAAGTGTATACTCATTCACATCCCATCGGCAATTTAGCAGCTAAGTTTAGCTCTAATACTGTAGAAAATGCAGTTTTTCCCGATTTTCCACAACCTTACTGGGAGTAGACACTTCATTTTTTTTCTTAGAACGAACTAACGGTACCGTAACTGCAAAATTTGAATGCTTACGCTCAAAAAATGTGAAAATTACAGGGTATTTTTCGATATGACACGCCTCTAAAGAGGCGCAAAACTGATTTTGGTTACTATCCAAATTTGAAGCTTCGAGCTATTATACTTAAGGAGATATAAAGTTTTTCGATTTACCACGCCCCCTGTAGGCGGACATATATCCGTCGAAACTTTTTAGTCTTCGGTGGTCATAAAAATTGAGGTCTCTAGCATCAATAGTGTCCAAAATAGAGCAGAATTTAAAAAATCAATGTATCTTCAGGTCCGATTTGCCATGCCCCTAATAAGCGTAGACGTATAAATTTGTCATTAGACTTTATATAAACATAACATTAGCTGTAAAACTCTTCGAGATACAGTTTTATCCGATTTGCCACGCCTCCAATGGGCGTAGATATATCCGCCATAGCTTGTGATCTTGGGTGGTCGACGCGGATCTACATTCCAAATTTCAGCTTTCTAGCTTTTCAGGTAATATGATTTCTGGCATATCGGAAAATGCCTTTTCCGATTTGCCACGCCCTTAGTCGGCGGATCGGGAAAATTTTAACATTTTATAAATCGGAGATATACATGACGTGTATGTGTTCCAAATTTCAAGTCTTTAGCTCCAATAGCGCCGAAATAAACTGTTCATACGAACAGAGTGATAGACGGACAGACGGACGGACGGACAAGAACAATATACTAATTTAATTTCGTGAATGTATGAAAAAAAAAAAAAAAAAAAAAAACAATTATGAAAGTTCTAATCGAAACTGCTCGATTGCGAGATCCCCTGAATTATTCGAGGAAATGATATTTTAATAATTTTACACAAGAAACACACACAGGTCTGCAGTTTGGGCATACTATGAGAACTTAATTGTTCCATCTTGTGAATGGACTTTCTTCATAAAAAATTACTCAGATCGTAATTATAGCATTGAAATGCGTGCATTTGCCATTTAAAACACATTTAAAATTTAGCGACTCTAGTAAGGGTGTAGGAGATATAATTTTGTTTCGTATTTGCAACTGTCTTAATACACAAAGTGTATGGTGTTTTGTCTCGATATAGCCATAACTGTAATAGCAACAGCAATAGTAATGAGTATGGCATGTCTGTGGTAATATGTTTTAGAGAGTGGAGCCTGCTCCAGTTTCCAAATCACGTCGCTGGCGTGGACAAATAATATTACGTAATCAGCTGTTACTTGAATGCGTTTTGTATACTTTCCTTTGCGTTTATACTTTTTATATTTTACACGATTCGCAATACATGTAAATTCGTGTGCCATAACCTCTAACGAATTGTCCCCCTTTGACGTATATCTTATTGCCTAATCAACTATTGCTTTTGTGTGCAGTGTTGCATTTGAATTGACTGCTGTAAATCCGCTGAAGCTCATTTTTTTTTGGGCACGTTTACGTCATTTTGTCACTTAAGCAAACTAATTTATGTGTTCCTAGGTATAAATTCGATTAGGTAACTCTTTATACCTTGTACCCATTTTAATGATCAGGATATAAGGGTTTTATTAAAAGAATGTAACGGGCAGAAAGAGGCGTGGCAGACACCACCTAGTGTATTTATTCTTGATCAGCGCAACGAGCTAAATCGAGGTGACCCTGTCCGTCAGTATGTATGAACGCGTCGATCTTAGAAGATATATGAGCTAGAAACTTAAATTTTTTCCTAGCTCTGTGTATTTCACGCGCATATCGAGTTTTTCTCCAATTATCGTTAACTACTCCCGATGTTTTGCTATCGATCAAAACCCGTATCGAAAATTATTTATTTAATTATATCTCCTCCTATCCTCCAAAAGCCCGAGTCTCCAAATTTTAAATGTAGAATTTCAATTTTTTTTACCACATATGCACTGCCTCACCCCTACATTTGTTAAGGCCTTATGTCAAGTACTTGAAACATGTGTGTGTTTTTCTTGTGTATGCAGAAAGACGCGAAGAATTATTGAAATATCAGTTTCTCGAAGAGTTCAAGGGATCTCGCAGCAGTCTTGGCATCAGCTTTCTTACCTGCTTTGTTTTGAGCTTAAGCTTTGGTTTGCGTACTGCAAAAAGCGTGAATAAAAAAAATTGTTTCGACTGGAATCTCTAGTATTCGAGTATACTATGAATTCCGAGCGGAGCTTGAGTCTTAAGAGTTTTAGCTAATAATCAGTGACAACAGATAATAATTTCGAGCATTTATTGATGTAGTTTCTTCGGAGATACTAATAACATTGGCATAATTAGATTACATTTTATTAAACTAAAATGCTATTCCCTTAAACTCACGATGTAAATTTTAATACTCTGAAGTGCACGTAGAAACGTTTGGGATTAAAACGACTGCGGTAAATATAGTTTACTCAGTAAATATATAATTCTAATTCAAAGCCGTTACATATTATAGTTATAATCATTAGTGTTGATATTCCAGGCCAAAAAATTAAATGCATTTGATTCATAAATGCTAATGAACCGCAGAGGCAGAATACCTGAGCAAAGACTTTTATGTACCATATATTTATGGCACGCAAACATATAGTATAGAATAATCTAGTATTATATAATGTGTTATTATTTTATGCTAACTTTCGCAATTTTTCTACACGAACAACAACATCCCAACAATTAAGAACCTTGATAATTGGAAATCATCACGACGAAAACGTGTCGAACATATTATAGATCGTGTTGTGGAAACAAAAAAGCTGGAACTGGAGGAACATGATCGTACGAGACGAAAATCGAAGACATTTACTGAAATGATGGAGGAGCGGTAAGTAATAGTAGTGCAGTAATGCCGAAAATCTGATATCTAGTTTAATTCCATCCTATTGCATTTCTATCAGGGCTGAGCGTAGCGGCTCACGTGGGCGTGTCAAATTGGCATCTCTTGCCGTATATAACGATGACGAAACGAATGATTTAAGTGATTTGGGTATCGGCACTAGCAGCGCCAGCGGTAAAAGCAGCTTATCGGAGGACTATGAGAACAATAGTGTTATGGTGAGTGCTGAATAATAATTGAATAATATACATGTATATTAATATTGATATCATCTATCTAAAAATAAAATTGAAATAGTATTCTAATTTATCTTTCTTTTTTCATACCCTGAACCCATTGAAAATGGGAAATCTGGGTATAATGGTTTTGTGAAAAAAATGTAACGGGCAGAAGGATTCATCGCAGACCTCTTTATCCTTACGTCCGTATGAGTGCGTCGATCTCAGATGTTATAAGAGCTAGAGAGCTAAAATTTGGCATGCATACTCAGCTTTTTTTTTCGATAGCTCAGCCGATAACTTTTTTATCGAGAAAAATTGAAAAATCGACTTTTTCAGCATAATTTGATCACTTTTAGACCTAGGGACTTCACTTTACTGTGTGTATACAGTTGATCGATACGAAGATTTTGTAATTTACAGATTTTGGATACCACGCCCCCTTCGCCTCCAATTTGTAAAAAACGCATTTCAAGTACTTGAGACTTTGGAATGTACACACATATTCATCATATGATTACACTCTGAAAGTTTCATAAGGATCGTATGTCTACAAAAGAAAGTATTCTACAAATAAATGCTCATAATATTACCCACATTGCAGCGCAGCCCAAGCGCAGCCGCTGCTTACTGCGCAGTTAGCAGAGCGCGTGCTTATAAGTGCATGTATATTTATGTGTGCATAAAAGAAGTGCAGAATGATTAGAATATCAGCTTAGAGGGTTCAGGGTATCTCCTTGTCGAGCAGTCTCGACTAGAGCCTTCTTACTTGTTTTCTTTTACGTTTTTCTCTTTGCCTATTGCACGCAACTTCTTAGGACAGAGCTATATCGACTCAGCTCGTCGCGCTGATCAAGAATATATATACTTTGTGGGGTTTGCCACGCCTCCTTCTGCCCGTTACATACATTTTCACAAAACCATTATACCCTGATTTCCCATTTTCAATGGGTTCAGGGTATAATGAGTGTAAGGGGGGCGCTAACCCGATGATGCGCAGTGAATGTATATTATAAATTTCATGTGTCAAGTGCTGCGTACAACATGTACGGTACATGCGATACCTATAGATGAACGTGATAGAAGTACATACTGATACGGCTATATATATATTTCAACTAAATATGTATTTAAATTCTAACCCAATGAATTCTATTCTGTATTTAACAGAGTGATAACGTCGAGTTGGACAAAGCCATTGGCACAGCAGCTGCTACTAATATTCAGGAGCAACAGAATCACATCAACAGGAACCAGGTTGACGTTAACGTTATCAGCCAGGCGAGTACATCGAACACCAGCAAACTGCTGGCAGTCAGCGAAGCAACAGGAGTAGCAGCAGCTTCAAGGGAATACACACCGATGAACACAAATCCGCCCAGTACTGCCGATCCCTGTGAGTACACCTATGAAGGCGCCATACAAGATTACAAACAGCGCGTTCAGCGGGCCAGCAGCAACGGCAGAATTAGTAACAACAATGCAGTATCCGAAACTGGAGAAACCATTGGCTATCCCACACGACGTGGCAGCAAGATCGAGGATCGGTTGAGTGGTTTTGAGGTAACGTCTCCCAGCGACACACAGGAGGGTGTCGAGAAGCAAAAAGTGGATGTGCCAAGGGTGGACATATCGAAACGCAAAGAGATCTTCGAGCAGCGCGACCCTGAGCCAAAGGTCACGAAACCCAATGGCGGGGCTCCCAAGCAAAAGCTAATACTGCGGGACCGTTTGACCAATGGTAATGGTGCCGCAGTTGAACCCACGGCAAAGCAGGAGATTAAACGTCTGTCTGGCGACATATGCAGCATTCGTGATCGCATGCAGAGCCTAGAACAGCAGCGCAATGAGTTTAACTCCAGTAAGAGCGTGGATGTAGCTGTGCCCCCGTTGAAGCAGCGCCTTAACAGTCTACAGCAGCATGTCGTTACCAAAGAGGAAGAGCAGCTACAGCAGAAGAAACCACCACTCGTAGCGCTCATCGATGCCAGGCAGCTGGAAATAATGCGTGGCGAAGAGCAACGGATGCGACAACAGGAACAAAAGGAACAGCAGAAGTTGACAACGCCGCCAGCACTGATTGTGGAAGAGGCAGCGCACGATGACAGTGGAATTCAGGTGGACAATAACGAAGAACTGCTTAAGGAGCAGCAACAACAGCAGCAATTAAATGAGGCGATAGCTGCTCTTGCACTCGAGGAGCGTCAGCTGGAGGAGGCAGCAAATGCAGTCAATCAAATTGAAGCAGAATTTGATGAACTTACTGATATGCAGCCAATAGCATTGCCTGCTGCCAATGCGACAGCAACAACTACTGTTACCTCATCAGCGCCCTCGACGGAGACATCCTCAACAATAACAGCAGCTACTCAGCCAGAGGCTCGGGACATGGAATTTAGTGTAAGTTCTACTAACCATTTTATCGAAACCGGTATATTAAGTCCACGTAGTGGTGTCCGTGATGATGATTTCAATTATGATAATGATAATGTAGTAGCTTCAGCTTCTCATATGGTGTCGGTACAACCCAAACCCTATACCCAACCCAATCCCAATGTCCCCCAACCAAAAAATTGTAACTTACGTAGAATGCCCTCCAATGAAATGGTCCATGCGCGCAATTTGTTGAAAATGTTTAAGGACACCTTTCAGAATGACTACGACCTGAATGAGGAGGTCAGCGAGCAGGTCAACGAGCAGCTAGTAGTATCAAAGTCCCCTGAGCAGCGTAGCCAGATCTTTGACTTTACTAAGAAAGAAAGTCCGCCAGTTTTGAGTCTGACTTTGGGTTCGACATGCCCTTTAAAGCAAAGAACTGCTACACCTCCAACCGAATCGCCTCCAAATAACGTAGGCTCAGTCGTCCTACAATCAACACAAATACCACGCCCACTAGGCAAACCACCAATGTCGCCTAAGGCAATGCGTGTTAAGCCAACAGCAGCCACACCTCAGCAATTCAGCATTAATGGTCGCGTTGAGATATTTAATTCCCGGCAATTGGACAAACCACCAACACCTCCGCTTAGACGAGCTTTCAGAGATGATACAACGTCTCCAAAATATGATAAGATCGAACAGGTGCAGATTCACGAGCATGAGGTTGTGATGTGCTCACCAGCAGTTACAATTGTTTCACCCGAGGAGTTACCGAAGCCCAACACAGTCAAAGCTTTATCCAGTTGTTTTGGCCAGGCTGCAGCGCCCCCAAAGCCGCCAACGTGTACATCTCCAACTTCCAGCTCAAATGTGAATTTCAGTGCAACATCAAATCCATCGCCGAAGGTTTTGCCACGCAGTCGCATACCGCAGATAACGCCACCATCTTCACCCAAGCCAATTAATAAGGCTGCACCCACGGTGGATATGGTGGATAAAGCGTTTGATCCCGCCTCTGACGATTATGCGCCCATCGTGAGTCAAACACAAGCTGTGGTGCACACGCCACCCACAGCCAAGGTGCGCGCAAAGCCACCCGCCAAGCCGGTCAGTTTAGATCCCCTGGCGCCAAATGATTCGTTGGAGGTGCACGTGACTTCGCCCTCTGCAATGCCCGCCCTGCGTGTCTGTACACCCAACGAGTCCAGCCTATTCAAGCTGGCCAATTCAGCGCCAACATCACCAGGATTGACGGGCACCTTACCCGATGCTGTACTGTGTCAGCAATTTATGGAACAGGAGGCAACAAAACAACAACTGGTTCTGTCGCCTGAAGATCGTAAGCGTCTGGATCAGCACGCCGTAGAGGAGTTTCTCTGCGAAAAAATTGATGTGAGCAAGATGCCCAAGTTGCCCAGCACCTGCTGCCAGGTAATAACCGAGCAGCAGCTGCAGAGCTGCGATGACATGATTAAGGAGGAGCTGAACGACTCAACCGTACCCAAAGAAGAGGATGTGGCCCTATGTGTGGGTCTGCTTGATTGCCTCGCGCCCGCACAAGAGCCTAGGTGTGAAAGCATCGATGTGCGGCAACAGCCGATTCCGGCTACTGGCTACCAGCACATAAGCGATGAGGATGTAAAGCGCTGTGATGGCTTTCAGAGAATTAAGGAGCCAATGAACAGCAACAGCAGCCATAGTGCCAAACCGAGCTCCCCTATAAGCGATGCGCATGCCGCATACTCAAAGGCGCTAATGGACAGTTGCGAGCAGATTATTGCCGAGGAACGTTTGGCGGTCAGCAGAATGATGAAATCGTCACTATCGGCAAGTAATGCAACGAGCGGGCATAAAACGTCCACAGGCTCTACGCCTGGTACGCCAACAGTGAGTCGCAAATCGAAGATCCCTATACCCAAGTCGTGCTGTATATCGGCTTCTAACACAGACTCCATTGGTAGAACGGGCTATCTGCCAGCGAACGCAGAGCAGCCACTCATAGCACACACTCCAATCGAAGAGACGGAGATTAATATCAAGCGAATTACACCGCCCAGCTCGCCCAAAACACCTAAGGATGGCCATGAAAAGGACAAGAGCAAGGACAAGAAAAATAAGACCAACATATTTGATTTTTTGCGTCGAAATTTCGGACATCACGACGAGTCGACTACGCCTCAGCCACATCCCACGCTCAATGAAACTCTTGAGCCGAAAGTAATCCTTACCAGCACGCGAAGCGGTGTCGATGTAGTCAGTGCCGACGACTTTGTTAAGGTGGATAACTCGAAATTCTATTTGGCTAGCGATGCGCCTTCTGTCGTCGTGCCTCCGCCGTTACCAAAAACTGCAGCTCCAGTGAATATTGAGATACGAAAAACCATAACCACAGATGAGATACTTGAAAAGCACAACACAGAGCAAGCACTAAACCAGGAGATTTGCGAGCTACTCGATGATGAGCTGAACAAGCTGGGGACGACTGCAGGGGCGATGGTTGGTGCTGGTGACTAGATAAATTCAATTGGGTAATTCTGGGCATAGGTTTTCTAAGAATTTTCTGGAATGACATTGACATTCGAGATTAGGCGAACAAAATACTTCTGCTGGTAGTTTTGCGAAATTGTCCGATTTCTATATTTAATGTAATCTAATCGAATTGATTTCGCAACATTTCATTTCTAAACAAGTTTACATGTATTTTTTATTAAATTTCTTATTATTATTATAATATATATTATTGTTGTGGGGCTCAAGCTATGTAACCTAAAGTTACTTTATTATTTCTTTGTTCTTATTACTAAAACAATATTTTGTAAAAAAAAACAAAAATCATTTATGTAAAGAAAAATGTGAAATATATGATTTAGTGTAATACATATTTTATTTACTTAACGTGATGAAAAAATTCTAATACTCAATAAATATGACTAAAAGTATAAAAAATAAAATAATGAACTAAAATGATCTAAATAAAAGAAACATCTTGTTATGTGTTTTATGAATAAACAAATAGAAAGCACTTAAGCATTCGTGAATCTTGAAAACGTCACGACAGCGAAAATATTTTGTAGTACTGCTTTCTGTGCTCTAGTAAAATGCACTGCAAGCAGTGCAAAGCAGTGTAAGAGGACTTGGCTGTGCTGCCCTGGTTTTTATACTGCTTTAATTGGTTTATAATTTTTATAGGCGGTATTTTGAAATTATGCAGGAGCATACCCCCGAAACTTTTCAATAAACACAATTTGATTTAATTAACATAAAATGAGCGGAAGGCTTTCTCTGGTATAAAAATGCCCTGGTCCTAATTATGTTCTTTTTTGCCCCATTCAGATGATTAGCGTAAGTAAGTCCCCAATGGTTTAAGGTTTAATACTAAAATCTATTGTATGTATTTTTTGTCTTGATGTGCCTATATAATATAAATTGTGATATAAGCTTAATATGTACGCATTTCTCTTACATGCCTTGCGCTCACACTGTTGGCTAAAATGTGTAAATTTATAAATATAATGCTACAGTTACATAGTTTACATGCTTACTGCCAGCAAAAATTGTTGCAAGTTTATAATTTTCGAGGTAAGCGGCTGTATCTATCTCTGTTCCATCTCTACCCCTCTCTCGCTCATGCTATGTGTCATTTCTATTTATCCTTGTCTCATTTATTGGTTCTTTGCTATTATGTTCTGTTTTGAGCTGTTATTTATTTTGGTTCTTAGATTGTAAGTTTTTCCTCTTGCATGTTCCAGCAGATATGTACTTTATATATATATTTGTTTACATACATATATACATATTTATGAATATGTGCCAAATATTACAGTTGCCATTGCCTATATCTAGGGCCTTCCCAGCCGATATTCAATCCCTAGCAGCGTTTTATGTTGACACACATATATAGTCTGTTTCATTCTACGCTCTATATATATTTCCCCACACATATATTGGTTTTTTCTGCTATTTTTCTTTTCTGCAAACGAACGTTGTTCTATGCCACCCCTGCAATAGGTTCATTTTAGTTGCGTTCGGGCTTTCTAGAGTTGTGGTCGATTCGCATCAACTATTTACCAATAAAGCAAACCAGGCATATCACCTACATTGACAATTCTATCTTTATAGCAGAGAACACGTATTTGTATATATAACTACGTATATGGGACTATAAATAGATTTGTGTACGTCGTGTCGCGAATATACTACTTATCGTAGTTATGGGGCAATTGGTTCATTAATGAATAAAGTAAACTATATGAGCATAGCATATGGATTTGTGATCAAATAGGAATGGTAAGCACATATTTCGGCATCGGTCGGTCTGGCCTCTACATAAATTCTAAAAATGTTTCGTACTTAGATAATAGACTCGAGTCTTGTAGTCTTTTTTTCATATGATAGCTATTCAGGACTCTGTTGACCATACTCATACCTGTCAGATATATATATAGAAATCTCAAATACCTTACATTTCTTATAAATTCAATTCTGAACGAAACTATTTTTTAATTGTAAGAGATGCCCGATTTTTAGATGAATGCTGTTTTATTTGTAAGCTATGAAGAAGCTTTACAACTTAAAAACACAATAAAATTACGCTTTTCTGTAAATGGATACGACACGGATGCTTTTATAAAAATACTTTTAAGCAATATATAAATAATAAAAAGTTTATAAGCATAATTAAATGTTGTTTACTTGATAACACAAATTAGTTCTGGCTAGTTTCAGAATGCAAACTGTAAATCGAAATCAAGTAACCATCAGTATGGTTGTTAGTTCCAAAATATTTTGTACAATTTTTAACTAGGTTTGTTTCTGAGCTGTAACTAACGGAATCCTTTGTCTGAGTTATGTTAGAAATACAATTTTCTAATCGGTTTTTCGTTTAATATTGTTTGCTGTAATGTTGATTATTATTCATTAACTTGTGTTTATTATTGCTAGTGCAGTATTTATTCAAATGTGTAAAAACTAATTTAATTAAAATGTGTGCGATGTGGCGCATATTTCTCTTTTTCTCTCTCCCCCTCTCTCTCGGGACATTTTCGACTCATTCGCGCATTCATACACTCGTAAATACGAATCACAGATCAACGAAGCTCTTGATTTGGCGCTGGAAGCTATTGACAGGGAAGCCAATAGTGCGCCGGAGAAAATTGAGGATCAGGAAGAAAATAATGGTGAAAGCAAATTGAAATTGGAGAGATTAGAGGATGAACATAAGGAAGAGACGAAAGTAGGTACGATGGAGATGAACGCAGAATTGGAGGAGATGAATACCGCAATGCCAAATAAAACGGATGAGCAGAAAACGGTGGAGGAGGTAGTGAAACAGGATATTGAGGGATTAGAACAGCAAGAACAACATATGGAAATCAATAGAAATGAGCCCATTTATGAAAACATTAAGTCTACCATATCTATGCAACAAGTAGATATTGAACAGACAGCGAACGCGATGATAATAAGACGTAACGACATAAGAAACATTCCAAATAATAGCAACAATAACAATAATAACGAGCATAATCAAACTAACAATAACAAAAGCAGCAATAATAATAGCAGCAACTGCCAAATCGAATCAAATTCAAAGACAACAGCTGCTGACTTAGAACCCTATTACCAGGTGCCGAAAGCAACTGAACCTTACTACGATGCACCTAAACATCTCCGCCCAATACCCGTCTACGAGAACATTGACATCTTCTATACGGGTCTGGAGCTGGGCCATTGTGTTACGAGCTTGGTACCGGCTTTGGAGCCCCCCAAGGAGAAACCGCCGCCACCGCCTACAGAAGAGCCGCTCTCAGAAGATATAAATAAAGTCAGCCTGAATGCACACGATGATGAGTTGGATACCGGCACTTGGTCATCGGACAATACGTACGAAACCATATCGAGTAGGTCACGACACCAGCTGCAGGGTCAGACAGGCCTAAGCATGCCCACGTCGCCGCCCATCAAGCGCATGAACTCGACAAAGCGGATCAAGAAGGAGCTGCGCAACAAGCGTTCCAGTTTTCTAGGCATCGAGACCGACGCCGGGCTCGATGATGTGGACAGCTATCTTCAGCTCACGGTTGCGACGCCACCGGACATGTCACAGCTGCTGCAAGAGGAGCGGCGGCTCGAGAAGCAACTGTATATCAAGGCAGGTCTGTGTGACAGTTCGGATACAGGTGAGTGGTGCGGAGGGTTAAGGGTTATGGGGCTGAAAGCCAATAGTGCTGAAAAACGAACAAATTACTAGGAGGGCAGGAGCGGGCTCGGGTGTGGGAAGGCACGGTAAGGCAAGGGCTGTGAAAGTAGAAAGTGAGGCTAAGTATAAATAATCCGTTTAGTGCGTCAACAGTGATGAGAAGTGTTTTGCTTATCGAAAGCGAAACTAGCCAAGAGGAGAAATGCGGCCAATAGACTTCAGTGCATGTGAGGAAATTCATTGATTAAGATAATTTAAACTGGAAAATGTGTACATTTATAAAATATATATAAAATAGGTCTATACACATGAAAAGTAAATATTAATGAACATACATTCAAATTAATTAAAAAATCTTAAAAACCCCACCATACTCGCTCTACTCTTAAAAACGCTATTTCACAAACTGATTTGCGTTGGAGCCTAGAGACAGTCAGATAGCGATTCGTACTTAATGCATTAATTATGTAGTCTTAAAATGAGGTTGGTATACAAATTGTCGACTAATTTAACGTTGTCCTTCGTCACAGGTGAAAGTCGAGACTCGGGTGTCTCAGAGAATCATTCGCGTCAAAGCAGCGAACACTATACGAACTCCTCAGAGGAGAACGATACCCAGTCGGAGGCCACGCCACCGCCGACCGAGGAGCTGGCGCCGTCGCAGCTGGTTGGCGAAGTTCTCTACCAGAACAAGTCGTTGCTGGCCGCACAGACTCCGTTGCTGCAAACGGTCAAAGGCACCTCAGCTGAGTCGTGGACGGAATCGGCTACGGCGGCAGCGGCCGCAACACAATCGCTGAGTGAGGCAACCGCAACTGCCAATGCAAAGATGTTGTCTATTGAAGAGAAGATCCGAGAGCAAGGTGAAGTACTGCGTGTAGAGCAGGAGCTACTGCTGTTCTCGGTAAGACACGGGTTTGTCTAGTTATTAACCAGCATCTAATTGATTTTTTCATTTGTTCATATTGAAGAAGGAGGAGCTTAAAAGACAGCGTGAAAACTTGCTGCTGCGCGAAAATCTGGCACGTCGTGAACTGCAGCATGGAGCTAAGATGTTGATGTCGAACAATCGACGCTCGCTACAGGATCTGCATCATGGCTTGGGCATTGGCAATGGCATGCTAAGCGCCTTTCAACCACCACAGCAGTCAACACAACAGATATATGCAAATGTGCCACAGCAACAGCAGCAACAGCAGCAGCGATCATTGCCACTGGCACCATACCACTACCAGCAGCTGGACATGGACTACCGCAAGTCCATGTCAGATCTGAATGAGTTCTCCAAGCGCCTAATGCTGCCACCAACGCCGCCAATAAAGCCACTGCGCGCCATGCACCTCAGCGGCAATGGTCACAGCCAGGAGCCGGACTACGCCGTCAGCGCCCGACAGCGCAGTACCTACGGCGGGTCTTTGGTCAAAATTGCGCCAACAGCAACAACAACAGCACCTGGTGCGCCCGCTCCGCGTTATCAAGCCAACCCAGCCACTTATCATCATCAGTCGGTGCAGAATCTGAGCAACATGTCGCGCAACACTCTGCTGGCATTGAGTGCTACCCCCAAGCCGAAGTACACCGATGGTTGGGTGCAGGTACAACAGAAGCAACAGCAACAGCAACGTAATCTAATCAATGATGGCTCCTGGCTGCAGAAGCACAAATCCACTCCGGATTACAACGGGGCGCTCTATAACAGTGGCCATGCCAATCACTGGCTGCTCCAAGAGGCCGAGCATCGCCGCCAGTTTGAGCAACAGCAGCAGCAGCAGCAGCAGCTGCAGCTGAACAGGCGCTCCATGCCCGTACCCTCAGCCAATGATAAGCCGCTGCCTGATTCCGTCATACAGACCCTCACGGAACGTGTCCAGAGCAAAGGCATCGGGGAACGTAAGCGGTAGGTAGCAATCAATATATCAAGGGAAAAATGTTAGTCGCAGTAGTTGCAATAGGGATATTTTTAATCATTGATATTTAGCTCGGATATGTGTACTAACTGGGTCATATAAATCATGTACAGTTTTCCCGAACTATCCACTATCATACTATCGTCCTTCGATATCATGCCTACCTCCGTTTGACGTAACTGCGGTTTCATATTTAGACCCATGTGGAGACCCTGAACCCATTGAAAATGGGAAATCAGGGTATAATGGTTTTGTGAAAAGTGTGTAACAGGTAGAAGGAATCATCGCAAACCCCATAAAGTATATATATTCTTGGTCAGGGCGACGAGCTGAGCCGATTTAGCTTTGTCCGTCTGTCAGAATGTTTGAACGCGTCGATTTCAGATGATACAAAAGCTAGAGACCTAAATTTGTTTGTAAAATGTCCGTGTATATCACGCGGATATTGAGTTTTGCTTTAAAAATCGATAACTACTTCCGCTATTTTGTTATCGATTAAAAACCTTATCGAAAACTAGCTATTTAATTATATCTCGTAAACCTTTAGAGGTATAGTCTGCAAATTTTAAATGTAGATTTATATGTATTTTATAGAATTTTTCTATTTGTTGTAATTCACCCCCCACCCTTATATCCACACCCTCTCCCCTCAATTGGTAGGAGGCGTATTTCAAATACTAGCGACTTGTGCTTTTGCACGCATTTCAATGTTATAATCACGATCTGAAAGTTTCATGAAGATAGTTCATCGACAAGAAAAGTTATAGAACAATTACGTTCCATTAGTAAGCCACTACTGCAACCCATGCGTGTTTATGCGTGCATGCCTATGTGTGTCTGTGTTTCTTGTGAAAACAAAAAGACGCGAAGACTTATTGAAATATCAATATATATATATAATCACAATCATAGTTAATAGTTATATTAATATTATAATTTTTTACTTTTCACAGCTTCGATAGTAATGCTACCTACAGTCAACTGAGTACCAATGGCCTTGGGTTCAAACCACTCAGCAGCAACAGCAGCAACAACAACAACAATAATAATATTAATATAAACAACAGCAGCAGCAACAACAGCAATCAAGAGAAGATGCTCAGCGTCAGTGGCAAGAAGAAGTGTTCACATTGTGGCGACGAATTAGGTAAACTTTGCTACTACGTTGGTTGTGAGTGTGGTTCTTCTTAAATTTCTATTTAATCTTCAGCTCTGACGTTGCTTCCATTTATAGGCTTGAGAATTCGATATAAATTGCAATCGTTTATAATGCATTACGTAAAGAACACACTTATCATATCTACATACCATAAAAATACAAAATTAGTTCATGATTTAAAATTAAACTTTTCATCTTCAAACTCCTTAGAGTAAAAAAAAAACCACAAAGGAAATACAATATCAAATGCAATTTTATAATAGAATAAAAATTCAAATTGATTAGTTTCACTAAATCATTTTATTCTATAAAGCGAAGCTATAATTAATAATTAAAGCACTAAACATTCAGTTTAAAAGTGCTAAAATGTATCTAGAATCTTAAAATCACATTAGAGCGTGAAGACATTGAATACAAACTGCTATTTTTTATAAGCATTACTTTCCCATTTATTATTTTACCGTATTTCTCTCCATCTCGTTTTTACTCTTTCTTCTGTATACATGCTGCTCCCAGATCTGGGGTGCACCCATGACAATTGCCGAAGAGTCCACAAAGCACTCAAGTATATTGTATGGGTGTAAAACTGGCGGTCATTATTAGAGAATTAACTAATTGAAAAAATTTATTTTACATAAAATTTATACGATTTTAAGGCTTCCAGAAAGGTACTACACGAAAGCTGCCTACAAGCATTTCAATATATTTTGTATTTGTATTTTCCATTTCGACATAATTTTGACATTGTCTTTTTCTGTAGGTCGCGGAGCTGCCATGATAATTGAATCCTTGCTGCTGTTCTATCACATCAACTGCTTCAAGTGCTGCGTATGCCATGTGCAATTGGGCGATGGACTAAACGGAACCGATGTTCGTGTGCGAAACCACAAGCTCCACTGCCAAAACTGTTATTCCAGCGATGATGGCATCAAGTTCAGCTGTGTCTGAGGATGTCTGGAGGGGTCAATAGGTGGATGATTGTGTGCAACTTTCGGTTTTTGTTGTTTTCTAGTAGTACATATATAAATATTTAAGCATTACCCATACATAGATGCATACAGCACATAAAGTATATGTTAAATGTTAAAGCTGAAGTCAATTTATATAACATATACATATATATGAGGATGAAATATTTTTCCGCTAATGTTAATCAACGAATGTGAAATCTGGTTCAAATTTCAAAATTGCATGTTGTTGATTAAGATCTGACCTTTTTATATATTATATATTCATCAATTTGCAAAGACATATGCAAGCCCGCTCTGATGTTTTTTGCAAAATCAAAGTCAAATTTCAGTGTATCTATAAAATGTAAAATATGTATGTTGAAACTTGTAAGACGATCAATTTCTATGGATGTTGTTACATTTTATTACCTTTTGAATATCGTACATTTGCGTACATGCTTAAATACGTATTTATGTTTCGTTTAGAAACTAATAAAGTATAAAGTATAAAAAAATATACAAATAAACCGTTTATTTTGTAAGAAAATATTCTGAATTTTTAATTAGCAGAAGAGTTCATTTGTTTAAACGAATTTTTTTTTAAATTTTTCTTGACGACTTGCTTTTAGATGTTCAGAGATCTAAATATGTATATAATGAAAGCATCACGAAGTACCCAAGGTACCTTAAATGATGTAATACACACACCTATCTACATTAATAAATTTGATTATATCTGCAGAAATAAAGCGATATAAATTCTAATTTCCAGTTTTATTTATATAACATTGAAACATAAACAAATTATTTGATCTAATATGTATATTTCTTATTCTTATTTATTGTATTTAAGCAACTTCCATTCGATGGTGAATTCTAATAATTTAATTGATTCGAACGTTTATCGGCATGTGAAATACTATTTTTCTGTAAAAAGGCAGCTTGAATTTCATTTACTTTTATATAAAATATATGCATATTTCAATCATATCAAACTAAATAAGTTTTTTATTACTAGAGTATATTATACCTAGATTCTCGGCTAATCTGAGCGTCTAAACTAGTAGCACTTATTGTTATATTATTATTATATACAACGCCTTTGCAACGGGCATCCACACGATTGGCGAGTGCGCGTTCGGCGCTCTCGCCACCCATAAAGTAAATTTGTAAAAATGTATAAGGTTCGTTTGGCATTGGTAGCAATGAACCGACATTGTGGTAAACTTGGCCTTTGATTTTGAATGTGGAATTAAATGGTTGACCATTGCAGCAGTATTTTTAACTATTTCCGTTCCTCCAAACGATGTCATTTGAAAACATTAATTGAATTTTCGCATTGACTGCAAGAACAGCAAAGATCAGTTCCAATAAGGAAGCCGTGCAATGGTTCCGGCGGTGTTTCAATTTCTGGGAGTATTACTTTTCCTGATGAGCAGCACATCCCGATCGGCTCATTTTTTTTTTAATTTAAAGGCATGGCAGTGCGGGCATTCTTTGTCCAATGTACCAATGGCCACTTTGGAACGTGCTTTATGGCTGTTGACTACGAATCTGCGCGCTTCTCTTCATTGTAATTGTCTTTGCTGGTTTCTCTCGTCTCGTGCCTCTTGTAATGTGATGCACGAAACTGCGCCATGCTTCCACGGACATTTGCATTGTTTTGTTACCTGTCTTCATCTGATCTTTGTGCTCTTCTATCCTGCATTCCTTTAGATTTTAGTGTTCGACGACTCAAATTAGCGCCTTTGCGGTTTCGTGGCATTGTTGTCTGCACATCAAACAATTCATCTGTACGATAAGTTCAACGGCCCGTTGCCTAATTGCATTACGGGTCCGATGGGAAAAATTAGATCTTCTAGGACGCGGTATACTATATAATAGTAGTACTGAATATGCACTCGCACAAAACCACATAAAACAATCGAGACAACCTATGAAAAGACATTTACACTATTGTCAAATGTGCATGAATAATTGTTAAACATGAGATCAGGACCGAAAACTGTCACTGTTATCAAGCCTACTGGGTAAATTCTTAATGAAAATTTGACAGCTCCGAAATTGGAGAACCTTCAGGGCGTTTTTCAAGTATTCGTCAATTTTGTATTATTTTTTAAGACATACTCTCCTAATCGGGGCGGAGAGAAATCCAACAAATCAAAAACATGAAAATTGGTCCAGCAGATCTCGAGTTATAAACGCTGTAACACATAACACGACTTTGTTTTATATATATAGATTTCATCCAGAGACCATCTCGACTCACACTTGGAGAAAAAAGTCAAAGGACAACTGATTGCGTCGGAACGTAAAGCCTTCAACCGAAAAAAATGTGTCAAGTAAGGTGATCTAGCAGCCTGAGCAGTAATGAGGTCATCCGATTTTATTGTGCGTGTTTGCCTATTTATTTGTTCGTATGTCTTTCTATATATGTGTCTCTCTGTCTGTTTCCCTGTCCATCTCTCTGCCTGTCTTCCCAAGCACCGAGCTATTTAAGCGGGACTTGCGCTTTGAGTGAAAGTCGTTCTATATAAAGAGCAGCAGCTGCATCATATCTTCAGTCGCCTGGCGGGGGTGAGTCGAGCAGTGCAGTAAAATGAAGTGAAACGTGTTTGATTTTAAGTTAAACATTAAAGACTTACAGGAAATATTTGGAGAAAATACTTAGAAAAAATACTTAGAGGAAATATATAAATACTTGGAAGAAGGGATTATAACAAAAATCTAAATTCTATAAAATACATATGAATATATATTTAATTTATATATAATTTGTCCACTCTAGCTCAAAAGATGTAGGAAAGACAACAAATAATTTCAAGACTCTAGCTTAAATTTTCTGAAGCCGAAGCGTTCAAACATACGCCCAGAGCCAGAGTAGCCCTCAGCGGGCCCCTAGGCAACCATCAATTTGGAAGTTTTTCACGTCTTATAAATTTGACTGTCAGAATGTAATAATATCAATAAAATTACTGCCTATACTATATTAAACATTTCGCTTTTGAAGCTGAACAACGTAACTTGTTGGTATTGTTTTCTTAGAATTCACTATAGGCGATGTTCCATGATAGGTATAAAGATATGCATAAAGTTCACAAATTTATGGTGAAATTAAGAAAATTTCTTATTCCTTAGTTGTTAGATGAAAGAAATTTTTTGTTTGTACCGGGGGCCAATTATTTCTTTGTGGGAACGCCTTAGCAGATCTGTTGAAGCTTTCAAGCAGAACAATTAAGAAACTGCAACGTTACCGACTGCGGAATACTCATTAACATCCCATCAACAATTTAGTAGTTAAGTCCAGAGTTTTAGTAAAAAACAATTTTGTTTGTGTTCCGTGGAGTATTTCTTAAAAAGTGCATATCAACTAAAAGTGGCAAAAAGTTACTAAGCAATGTGTGTAGTTATAGTAATAAACAAGTAAGAGGACTCCAGTCGAGACTGCTCGACTAGGAGATACCCTAAACCCTCTAATCTGATATTCACTCTGCACTTCTTTTCGGCGCACATACATACACACGCACGTATAAGAACGCGCTCTGCTAACTGCGCAGTAAGCAGCGACTGCGCTTGGGCTGCGCTGTAGTGTGGGCAACATTATAAGAATTTATTTGTTGAATAATTTAATTTCTAGACGTACAATCTTAATGCAAATTTCAGAATATAATCATAATGTTTAAATGTATGTACATTCCAAAGCACAAGTCTCTAGTACTTGAAATACGCCTTTTACAAAGGTGAGGGTGAGGGGGTGGATATAGGGGTGGGGGGAAAATTACAAAAAAAATCTAAATTATATAAAATACATATAAGTCTACATTTAAAATTTGGAAGCTCTAGCTCTAAAGGTGTAGGAGATATAATTAAATAACTAGCATTCGATAAAGTTTTTGATCGATAATAAAATATCGGGAGTAGTTATCGATATTTAAAGAAAAACTTGATATACGCGTGATATACACGGACCTAGGAAAAAAAATTTAAAGTCTCTAGCTCTTATATCTTCTGAAATCGACGCGTTCATACATACGGACGGACGGACGGACGGACGGTCAGGGCCAAATCGACTTAGCTCGTCGCTCTGATCAAGAATATATATACTTTGTGGGGTCTGCCACGCCTCCTCTGCCTGTTACATACTTTTAACAAAACCATTCAGGGTATAAAAACGTTTTTGCTCCTTTTGAAAAAAAAAAAATTCACTTAAAGTTTCCTCTGCGTTTAACAATTACACGCTTTCTGGTATTTGGAATAACAACAACCGCAGCCGAACAACCTTTACTATATATTAATAGCAATATCGTGTGAGTTCTCAATCAACCCAGAAAAGTATCACAGCTTTTGCAAAGACTTTTTTCTCTGTATATGAAGACATTTCTAAAAAAAAACCTGGAATACGTAAACGGGCGACAAAAAGGCGTGGCATATGTAATCATATGATGAATATGTGTGTACATTCCAAAGCACTAGTCTCTAATACTTGAATAACTCATCCGATAACGTTTTTTATCGAGAATAATCGAAAATTCGACTTGTTTTTTCAGCCTAAGTTGGACACTTTTAGACCTGGAGACTTCAAATTTGCGTTGTAAATAAAGCTAATGGATACAAAGATTTTGTAATTTACAGATTTTCTATACCACGCCCCCTTTGCCCCCTTGTAAAAAATTGCGAGTACTAGAGACTTGTGCTTTGGAATGTACATATATTTGAAAATTATGATTACGTTCAAAAAGTTTCATTAAGATTGTACGTCTAGAAATTAAATTATTCAACAAATAAATTCGTATAATATTGCCCACATTGCAGCGCACCCCAAGCGCAGTCGCTGTTTACTGCGCCGTTAGCAGAGCGTGTTGTTATACGTGTGTCTGGATGCATGTGTATGTATGTGTGCATAGAAGAAGTGCAGAATGATTAGAATATCAGCTTGGTGGGTTCAGGCTATCTCCTAGTCGAGCAGTCTCGACTAGAGCCTGCTTTTTAGATTTTATGCCGCCAAAATCGACAAATCGCAATGTAGGAATTATGCCCATTACACCAAGTATAATAAAAACGCTATAGCTAAAGGTTTTAAAGATTTAGTTTGGAATATATTCTCCCACTCTTACTAGGGATTGTATCCGACTATATTGTGATTCGTAGATATTCTGAGAATTTTCAATTTGAAACATACCGTCTACACAATCCCCATATATATATTATTGCTTATAAGGTTTTAAAAATTCGATAATTGAGTGACTGTCCTCGTCCTCCGAAAAAATGTGAGGTATCAGAGTAATACGCATTTTAGACTCAAGATAAACTGTCAGTGCACGATACCAATATTTCATTTCAAAGTATACGAAAAAATAAACGCATTTTTCTCGGATATCTGGTCCTTTATTTTATGACGCATTGACAAAAAATGTGAGTACGCGGAATTCATTTAGAAATAAACCCATTTATTCGCTCATCATTTAAGCCGTTGGCAGGAATGTGAGCTTCTCGTTAAGCTGCAGCTGCGTCTTGATCAATTGTGAGAGAGTAATAACCATTAGCAAATCCCGTACATTGGCATTGAACATCTGCGTGAACTGTTCGTGAGTCATGTGTGGCACAGAGTGGATGAGGTCGAGGAGCTGACGTCCGACCGCATTATCGGGAGTAACTTTGTGCGCAATGACATCGTCCACGTATTTTAGTATGAGGTCCAGCAGAGATTGCAGTTTTGTTGCTGCCTCAGAGATCTGGGCTAGGTCTAGCATGGGCGCTACCGTCTTGGGTCGATGCGCTGGCGATACGGTAACCGTCTTCTGCAACAGTTTGAGGCCAAAAGTCTCGGGTTCGTAGCTGGTCAGCTCAACAGGTATGGGTGTGAACATGCAGCCAGTTTTGCCACCGGGGACGCCCAGCTGGATGCAAATGTAGGCGCGCAGGCCCATTCGACCACTTTGGAGCGATGTGTCCACAGTGAGGTGGACCGGATTGTTGCATTCCCGGGCATAGTACTCGTGTATGACAGAGCTGTGATTCGTCACCTCGTTGCCGGTGGCCCACCATCCCACGACGTTCTCGTTGGCGTTCACTTTACGATTAAGGTCGTACATATCTAAGGCATAGCTCAGCTCCGCCTCCACCTGATCGTCATGTTCTTTGTGCGGCACACAAAAGCAGTTGGTAACCTCGACAACTCCCTTGTCAACCGAGCCCAGCAGTGTGCCGATAACTCGATGTGAATCAGCATTACGACGTTCGAACGCATCCACAACTTGGAACAAAACCACCGGGTGCACACGCACGGTCAAATTAAGCCCCGACATCGTAATTTTTTAAACGCAGAACTTCAAATGACACTTTACAAATAATTTCGCAGCTGCCACGCTATGTGAAAAGGACTTAGGGGTGATAGACTATTAACGATAGCTTGTGGTGGGCTGCCGATATATTTCATTAGTGCGATATATGCATGGGCAGCACTTTCCAAAGAGTTATAGAGCAAGTACGCAACTGTTGAGTAATTAATGCATCGACTATTTGTTAATCGATAAGTATCGAATTGAGTATATGGCGCACATTTAAAAAATATAAGTTGTTGATTTTTAAAAATGTGCGTATTTCGTTGATTTGCTCAGATCAAAGAGAATCCAAATTTCAAATTTTTCGGTACATACAAACAACTTTTATTAAATAAATGTCTTACATTATGCTCATTTAGCATAAGTACTCTAGGGGAATTAAAGCTAAATCTACGTGAGATTAGTCCATACAATGTGGACTTGAGCGCTAATACATCATTAATAGATTTCTAAAAAGCCCTTCATTTTATTTTTTTTTTTTAATGGGAATACAATCAATCTACTGGTAGTTCCTACCAAACTTCACACTTTTGCACAGGATTCATCGGTGAGCCTTCAGGGCACTGGAAGTCCTTGGCGAAGTCCTTCATATTGCTCAGTGAACCGAGTACACGGAACTCCGACGGTGAGTGCACACCTGTTGTGATTCTCATTTTTAGAGATTCTGCAAGAAAGCGTATGCGTAATATTTGATAATAATTCGTTATATTTTGAAAGCTTACCTTTTCGATATTTGGCACACCAGGTTTGACCAGCTGAGATCCAGAACATTTGCTGCGGCGTATAGTCCAAGCCGGGGAGTTTTGGCTCCTCACCGTGTTTCTCTACCCAGCGTTTATATGCGATGTAGGACTCTTTTACTCCACCATTATCTGCAATATTTTCGCCTTGTGTATTGATTCCATTTAACTGTGTGAGTAGAAAAACGAGCATATTCAGATTAGCTGCTTTACAGATACAAAAATTAGGGCAAACTCACATTCAAGCCCGTTGCTCGCTCTGTATAGTTGCCGTACTGATCAATAATGCACTGGGCTTTCTTCAGATATGCCTTCTGAGTGTCCGGCTGCCACCAGTCCCGCAAATTGCCCTTCACGTCGAACTGGCGACCCTGATCATCGAATCCATGTGTTATTTCGTGGCCAATGACATAGCCAATCGCTCCAAAATTCATATACTTTGGTCGCTGGGCATTAAAGAAGTGACCCTGCAGTATGCCAGCCGGGAACTCTGTGAAATTCAAGTGACGGATACAGTATAATACGGCTCCTCATCCTGCTCCACAACTTACGTATGCTGTTCTCCAACGACGAATAGAAGGCATTCACAACAGCTGGGCGGGCATGTCGCACCCACTCCGTTTTGTTGACTGGCTGACGCAGCTTGTTAAAGGAATAGTCGGTCCCGAAGATGTTCATGTTCAAAAACGATTCGAAGTATGCATCAGGATTGATATCAAGTTTCTCGAAGTATTTGGCCAGTTTCTCGTTGTCCAGCATCTCATCAGGGTAGCCGATGTGGGTGGCCATGCTGTGCAACTTCAGCTTGGCCTCTTTCTTGGTCTTCTCGTCCATCCAGTTAACCTCATCTAAAATATCGCTGAATACCATGCGTATATCGTTGACCATTTCCAAGGCGTTCGCTTTTGAGTCCTGATTGAAGTGTTTACGTACATAGAGAGA